TACCCGTAAAAAAGCAAAAAAAAAAACTAAAAAAAAAAAAACAAACACACACACACACACAAATACCATCGCGGAAATGGTTAGGGAAGCTTCCTAGGACCTTAAAACTTCGAAATCTGATGAGAACTCGATTTTCGAAAAACGGGGTAAAACCAATAACTTCTCGATTTTTGAAAATTTTTAATTTCCTGAGCGGGAAGTTATAAAAAATTAGGAGAACGGTTGACCCTGAAAGCCATCTCTGCAACTTCCCGCCAGTTCTATACCTAAACGCTTGAAATTGCATTTATGACGTTTTAGAGCTCTTCAAACTCAAAAATACAATTTGTGTGTTATTTTGAGCTCTCCAAGCTCAAAGAAATAGCTTTTATATGCTTTTGAGCTCTTGGAGCTCAAAAGTCTGATAGACGTTTGATAAAACACTGTTTTTCAAATTTTCAAATCGCAATAACTTTTGAATAAATGAACCGATTTTTACGCGGTTGGCGGCATTCGACAGTTTTTTAAGCATCGTAAGAATCTTTAAGTTTAATTTGATTGAACTAGAAATTTCGGAGTAATTCCGAAAAAACACTTTTTTCGGTTTTCTTTCGTCAACGATAACTCACGAACGAATCAACCGATTTTGACTAGACCGGCGGCGATCGACGTGGTTTTTTTATGTTAAAAGCTAAATAGTTTTTAGAATCGATCGATAGAGACGGTTAAAAGTTATTCCCAAAAAACCTCATTTGAAAAAATGTTTTTTTGTAGTTTTTTTGAGATTTCTTAAAATCTACTGGTTTGAATCGGTCCAAATTGTATTCAAAATCTAAGTTTAGTTAAGCCCTTTTGAATGGCACCAACCGCGATCAAATCGGTCACGCCTTTCAAAGGTAATGAGAGGTTTACATACATCCATGCACACACGCGCGCGCACACACGCAACACACACGTGCGCGCGCGCAAGTCTACATGTATACGATGTTTTACAATTTTTATAATAAAAGTTTTTATAAATTCTAAACAAAAACTATGAAATTATTTAATTTATATAGTTTGAAATGTTTTATCTAAAAAAATTACATAGCGTATATGAAGTGGTTAGAACTGGTAAACTATGAACAGCTTAATTTTTGTACCAAAAATAGTATTGAGCTGAAGAAATGCTCTATGCTCTTTTAGAGCAAAAAAAAACTTCAAGATAAATTATTTTTCCACTCATACTCTTTCAGTTATCACTCCTTTAGATTTATTTGTTAATGATTCAGACATTACCTCTGCCACTTTTAGAAATTCACCGACACGATCCATCCGTATGAGAAATTTCTTATATAAATCTAATGCATCTCGACACTGTTTCTTATTCATATCAAAATACTTTTCTGTAAAAATAATTTTTAAGTCAGAACAATAAAATATTACATTTTTGATTTTTATGAAATCAAAATAATTATGTCAATTAATTTTGTTGAACTTGGAATCACCTAATAGATTGATTATGCCATCATTATATCCAGCAAAAAGACGTATTAAATCTCGGAAAAGGAGCATGAATGCCATACTTATAACACCATTTGTAAGGTCATTTGCGGTGCAATCAAACTCTAAAAGACTATCTAATTGTGCTTGCAGTGCTGGAAGAGTTTTCAATAGTTTTTCTGCATTCATATTACGCAGAGTGCTATCTTCTTTTCTGCAAAATTAAAATTTAATTATATTGATAACTCATTTGTAGCAGCAAAGAATACAGTTACTTCGTTTAGTAAAAAAGGTACGTACCCTCTTTTGACTTTGCAAAAATCAAAGGCCACACTTCTGTAAGACATGGCTTTTTCATTTAAATATTTTGCATACCGCCTGATAAATGGTGACATATCGTACCCTGGAAGAATTTTTTTTTATTAATAAAAAGATCTAAAAAGTGGTTGATCCTGCAGGCCATAAACAGATGAAATCAAAATAACTCATTTTACTTTGAAATAGCCGCTTTACAGGAATTGTTTGGTTCACTTTTATCTTAACGTAATATCAATAAAAGTTTCGTGCGAATCTGGTGAGTATTTAAGTAAATGTCTGCTTTATTATTCAATCAAGAATCTTAAATAAAAAACAAAAAATTTGATATGAAATCTTTCTGTAAGACTTGGAAAAGTATTTTATGATTTTTTAAAACACCAGATCATATTTCTGTCTAAGCTTCTATACCAAAATACATAGTCAAATGGAAGAGCAGACATATAGGGAGTTTGTGCAGTGTATATTTATAAATCTGCGACAACACGTCTTGTTAGAGTTATCTCGCTCACATTTATTAATATTCTATTGAAGAAAAGTTACTAGAATTTGAAACACACTTGTGGAAGATTCGATTTTTTTGAGTTACAAGTATTTAAACTCTAATAAAAACTTACCAACACGCGCACCTGCTGCTTGCAAAACACAAAAAAATTTATCAAATTAGTAAATATCAAAAGGCATATTCTGGGAATCGCCAGAAATGTATTAAAATTAACGAAAACGTTAATTTAAAAAATAAAAAAAGTGTGTGTCAGCTCTGACGCACGACTGGAGTTAACTCCTTACGAACAATTATAAAATAAATAGATTAGTTAATAAGGGTAAATGAATGTATTTCTTATATTACTTAGAGTATGCATGACACATCTATAGATTGATTTTTATTCAGGAGTAATTTTCTCAATTTTGAAATAAATATCAATTGATATAAATTTATATTTATATCAATTATAAATAAAATATAAAATTTACGATAAAACCTCCGCAAGTTGACAGTTGTTGTAGGTTAATATCAGATTAATACAATATGCAATTGAAAGTAAATATATTAATTATCGTATTCGGCTTATTAAACCTACCCCGGGGTAAAACAAACGAATAGCAGCTGACTGGATCTGAAGTTTTCAAGATTTAAAAATTTAATTTGAGGTCCAATCAAATGCTTTTGTATTCATTGCCCTGGGGAAGGTTTTGTAAGTCGAACACGACAAATGATTATTTGAATCGGAATTTTTAATTATTTGAAAATTTTGAATCGGCTCATTTTACGTAATGCTAGGCTAAGTATCAGCTAAAATTGCTTTTCTAGATTCTAAAACGGCAACATTTACGATTTTCAATTTTACGGAAATTCAATATTTAAAATAATATTGTTTGAGAATTGACAATCTTTTCAAATTTCAATATTTTTTTTCGTTTATTTGTTACTTTGAATTATTCTTTAGAATCATTTTCATAAATTAACTTATGTCAGATTGGCATTATTTTATTAATGCAGCATTTTATTTGAATTGTTTATTTTTAAGCGACTGCCTTTTTAGATTTTCTTTTTCGAAAATTCGCGGATTTTTTCTTTGTCATTTTTTACTTTACGCTCAATTTACACTTGGCGTTATATTCTTTTTGCCCACATTAGCAGTCTTTTTATTAGGTTTAGTAAATTTAGCAAAGGACATAATTTTAGATTTTCAACATTTAGACTTTAGAAACGGCCGAATTTACAATTTTCAATTCAACTATAAACTTGAATACCTATTTGAATTAATGCGCGCGGCTGTATATATTATATACCTATATATTTTATATAGTAATAAGTTATTACTAATAACTAATAACATATATAGGTATACTTAATGCGTAAGCTGACCCGCAACATACCCCGTGAACGTTTGAATGCTCGCGCCTAAAAAGAGAAAGTTTGCGCAGAATAGAGGTTGCGCACCAAAAACATAACGAGGTCATTCATCAGTAGATTTTACTCCTCAAATTTTTCTCATACCGGGCGCCTTATATATGAAAATCGATTCTTAAGGAGTAAACTCCAAAAACTTCATATTTTTTTAAAGATTCATAACTCAGCAGTTGACATTTATTAAAACACAGTATTTTTGCAATCTTAAATTAAAGAATCTGGAATTCAAGAATGAATCACCATATTTATGTTACTTTAACCAATTTATAATCTATATGCAATATTGGATGCGACCCCAATGTGTCGCATGTGCAATCCCATTGAATTTACTAAAGAAGCCTGCTCTCACGTACTATTATTTAGCAGAATATGAATGAAAAATGTGTTTTGTCTGTGTCTTTATGTTTAATTCAATGATCCAATTAACCAATCTAAGTGCAATAGTCGATATCCAGTGGTTGTCGTGCGAAGAGTTGAAACAAGACACTTGTGTGGCATGATTAATAGTATCGCGACATTCAGAACAAAGAGATTGTGCCGAGGTATATAGTATAGGCAGGCAATACTTGTAATTCATGAGCTCAAAACTTTTTGATGTTTTTATACTATAAGTGGCCAATCTCGTAAGAGTAATTACTTGTTTAAAAAATTTGGCAACGCTGTTTGAGCTGTCACACGAATTTTATTCTTGTGTACGTCCCTCTCTGCGCCTAGTGTTGGCAACAGATCCACACTCGGTGTTTCTCATAATTTGACTATTTTTGTATTAATTTATTAATTTATATACTGTATATTCTTTATTATTTATATTGTAACAGTGCAAATTGATATACTCGTGCTCGTGCAGGAGCCTTGCGTACCGGCCTTCGTCAGTTTCATTTTCAGGTACTAGGCGGCGCGGTCGCTTGTTTTAATTCTCGGAGTGGGGAGCTTGGGGCCTAAAAAGAGTCAGTCGAGCGGTGGAACAGGCAGTCAATCTTCGAGCTTACAACCCGAAGGATCTCTAAAGAAGCCAAGGGGCTAATCATTATCCAGACGGAGCGAGTTGTACTAGCGAAGACGAGGTCGGCTCAGTTAGGGATAGTTTAGTTTAATTAGTTGTGATCTGCGAGCTAACTGGTTAGCATCCTAGAAGTGATTCAGTTGTGTGTTAATCAGGCTATGGCGAAGACCAGGCCATTAATTAATTATTCTATTCTGGGGATCTAGTTCCATAGTAAATTGTCAAGTCATTAATAGTCGAGTCGTTGGAAATAAATCTGTTAACTGTTTGATTTAATTATGGTGGTGTCGTGCGAATAATTTCTACAACCTAGCCTCTTTCCTCATCACTTAGTAATAATTAGTTGATTAAATTATATTCTGTGACCGGATATCAGTTTTGGATTACCCACTCCCTGAGTGTGAGCTAGCCTTAGTTCCAGGAGGCCGAGTGAACTCAACACCAATAAACTCTCCTGGTGGTGTCCAGAAAATCTCTGGCATGAACAGGATACCTTGGTTAGGGGGTCACAAAACCTGCTAAGGTATCACTGTTTTAATATGTGACAATTTATGTATTATTATTATTAGTTCTCAAGTATTAATTTTGACATTTATGTCAGAAAATTATATTGGAATATTTAGAATTGTAATGTTTAATCGTATATCGATTATTGGTATTAAGTCGTAGCCCTTGCTCGCACGGGTAATTCCCTAAAGTATCGATTGCGAGCACAGGGATCAGTAATTTTGGGTAAATGACTTGAGAGGCCCTCGTGATCGGACACGAGGTCTCGGGGTTTTTCGTAAAATGAAAATCGGGAGACACGCGGCAACCCGCAAAGTGTAAGAAGTGTGGATCTGGCACCTTCGTTCGAATTCCCTTTTTTTTTTTGGTAAGTACTCACAAGTTGAGCCATTTCATTAACCACGCACCGTGTTGTTTCCTGGCGAACAAATTAGTATTAAAAGTCGGTATTAATTATTTGAGTCAGCCAGTATTGATTTATTTTATTATCTTTTGTCGAGATAACCCGACCGGAGATTTCGGGTCTATCTCTGTTCAATCTTATTAAATATAATTTTTAGTTTATAATCAACGTCGTCGTAAATTAATAATATACTCAGGATATATATTAATAATTAATAATTGTACGCGGTAAAATTATTATTATTGTTGTTATATAGTCCAACCGGCTAAGGAACTCGCCACTGGACTTAGTTTTAAGTAATTTCCGTTTTTGTTTTGAATAAATAATTTATTTTATTATTAATATCGCGACTGATTTATTAATATTTTAATTTACGCAGTTTACTTCCTCCTTTCTTTCCTAATATTAGCATATTATTTATCTTCCCCTGAATACCTGCAGATCGGCCCTGAAAATCAAAGGGTTTGTTGTTTCCTTGGTGAAAAGAACAACTGGCGTCCAAAATCGAGCACTAACCCAGCCTGAGGAAGAGCTGCTGGTTGCTTGGGAGGCGAAGAGTTCCCTCCCAAGTCATTTTTGGTTTATTTAGTTTTTTTTATTGGGCGACCTGGACAAAATTACGAATCCACTGACCGCTCCACTGTCAGCAGGAGCGTAATTTTTGTTACAGAGCTTATAATTAAAAAAAAATCTTAACGCACACGCACTTTCAAGGAAAACATCAGCATGCATGACCATGCTTGACCAAGCATGAATTATGGAAGATCGTGCATGAATTATGCATGACTGAGCATGAATCGTGTACGATCATGTATGGTTGAGCAAAGCCATATCCAATTATAGATGCTCAACTACGTGACTAATCCAACACGATTATGCATGATTCATGCACAACCATAGTCAACCATGCATAATCATATAATATGAGAATTGCTAGGTTGTGAATGAGTATGACTTCGGATAATTATATACGATTCTTGCTTGACTAAACCCGATCATGCATGATTCATGCTTGGACGAACCTGATCAAGTGATCACCCATGATAATTTTTCACGCCGCTCAAATATATATTTATTAATACGATATAACGCGGCTTGTCAGCACGATAGCATTTTCAATTTATAACCGATTCTTCTCAAACTCAACATGCTTTATCAATCGATCAAGACCAAGGTTAAGATCGAAGATGAGCTTAATCGGGCAAGTAATTTAAAAATTACAGGATTTTGAAATTTTGAAAATCATAAAAATTGCTGTTTTTACTACTTCAACTTGGTATAATTACTGAAATAGACAAGATGTTGAAATTCGGTAAAATGCATCGTAAAGGTCTTTTAATAAGCTTTAATTTTCACTACTCAGAAGTGGTAATAGCTCCACTCAATATTAGTCCTTTTAGAGTTCGTTTAATGAAACAGTTTTACTGTTGTAGCCGTTTTAGAATTATTGTCTGCATCATAGCTTAATCATGATGTAAATTCAATAATTACGATATTGATCAGTCTTTCGGGTAGGTCGTCAGTAAATATATCACAAATTATTTCTAAATATTGTTTTCTTCAATTAAAATTTTGTCCGGTTTTAAAATTCTGATTAACTTGGAAACTGTTGTTCCTAAACAGTTACTTAAAATTTGGACATTTATAATTCAAATCTTATAATCTTTGCAATTGTTTGATAAATATTTGAGAATCTTTTTCTTCACAAGATAATTTTTTTTCCAAAATTTGTTCTAAATGGTTTTAACCTTATTATTGAATTTTGTTTTTAATTCATGAACTAAGTTATACATTATTAGTATTTACATTATTTTATTAAAAATCAATTTTCTTTATTTGAAAAATCCACTTCCATTTCGGCTGCCGAATGGCCTTTTTCTTTTTGAGATGGCCAGAAAGATGTCCCGCGCACAATTTTCAGAATGATGTCATGCACGACCATGAGCACGATGATCAGCGTGGCAGTGACCAAGATGGCCAGATAGATGTTGAGCGTGACCATGAGCACGATGGCTAGCGTGACTATGGGCACAATGTTCAGGAAAATGTCCCGGAAAACAACGAGCAAAGTTTGTTTCAGCATTTAAATTTCAAGGTCGAACGATGGATATCGGGACACTCTAGTAGAAATAATCGAGTTTTAACTCGATTTAAACCAGTAACTGGCAAGTCTAGTTGGACTAAAAGCTGATATTTTTTAACCAAACACAACATACTTATATTGCCCAAGTATTTGCAATACTATTATACCGAATACATAAATAGTATGTTTCAATAACAATAATATCTACAAAATAATTTGTTTCCTTACCTTGAACACCACTTTTATCTAAAAAGTTATTAAGCTGAAAAGTACTGTTACTTGAAGCTAGGTATTGTGTAAATCTCTGGAAAAAAAAATTTAATTGTCAACTAAAGTCGATTTTGCATACACCAAGCTCGCTATATTTTATATATATATATATATATATATATATATA